GGCCCACGCTGCGCCTGGGCTGGGACTGGTCCCGCCGGCGCAGGGTAGAAGGAAACTCTCCGCACACTCACCGAACCTGGGCTAGGACTTCAATTTCTGTTTTGAGACAGAATCTCAGTAAGTTGAATAGATTGGCTTCAATTTTGTTCTTCTTTCACTTCTGCTTCCTAAATTGCTAGGATCACCAACTTACATTTCCACACTCAGCAAATTCCTTCAGGGTAAAATAATGGGAGTAATTGTGCTTGAGATAAAACTTCTTGTGGTGCCAATATTCCATCACAAGCTGGAATGGTGATATATACATTACATGACTTCCTGGTGATGGTAAGAAGCATTGCAGAAGGGAATCTGGACACAAGTGGTAGCATGTAAAGATGACACTGTACTCTGAAATGTAGTATACTCCAGGATTTATATCAGATATTTCAATATATTACACAACTCATAATTTATGTGGCCATGCATAATTATGTCTAAGGCAAAGTATAATGTTCCCTACATTGTGTATTTCAAAATACACATGCTGTTTCCATACCGTTTTTGTAACAATGTAACCCCATCAGAAATAGAGCACTTTTTTGTATACAAGATATATTTTATAAAACATTTTACTAAATAAACATTTTACAAAGTATTTTAATATTAAAAAGGCATTTAAAAATACAGGTTAGAGGAAACCAACTGGCCCTCATGCCCATAATTTGCCTATGTTTGAAGGCATTTCTCACATCTCAAACATCATGCAATTGTTCTTATGAACAATTAAAAATGGCATAACAAAATTTACCTTGAAAACTGAGGAAACACCATCTGACTTATAATTTAGTAAATTCCAGTTTTCACAAAACTGATATCTCTCATGAGTTAGGTTTTCCTCCATGCCACTATTAGATGAAAACAATAATGATGGCCAGACATGGTAGTGCATACCTGTAACCCAAGTAGTTGGCAGGCTGAGGCAGGAGAATCATCAGGAGTTTGAGGCCAGTCTATACTACATAGTAAGCTCAGGAGCAGCCTAAACTATGCAGCAAGACTGTGTTTCAAAAACTACGAATACCAAAATTTAATGGTGTCACAGCATCAGGGATAAAAAGGCACTTGCCTCATTACTTTCAATATAATTATTCTAGGCAGGGAGATAGCTCAGTAGAATAAGCGCCTTCTTGGCAAGCACAAAGGCCTGAGTTCAATCCCCAGTTCCGCAAAAAAGAAAGAAAGTTAAATTCCAATGTAATTATTCTCTCCAAAAAACACCACTGTTGATAAAAATTCCTTTGACAGTATTGTTGCTAATAAACAATACTGTCATTTGTAATTTTGGAGAGATTACTATAGTTATGATATTCTTTTGTAGCCAAATTATGGTTCTGCAGATATACGGCAATCAGAAACTCACAGCAGGTTGGTTTATTTTGGTACATATGGTGGAAAAATTACCACAAAACTAAAGTCACTGCAATGAAAACAAGAAAATCACAATTTGGATGGTTAGAAACAAAATTTTATATAAATATCTGCCCCAATATGAAAAAGAAAATTATGTACATGATATAATATACAACACTGGGATGCAAACAGGTATATCTTGTCAAGATGTGAGCAACACAATGTGCTAATTCACGAGTTATGTGAAAATAAATCAACTTTGTTAAAAACACATATTCACAAATCTCTGAATAAATATGTATCTTAATATTTAGTACAGGGTCTACAGGGTCTCACTACACAGATCAGACTCATAGTGATCCTCCTGTTTTCAGCCTCCCAAGCGATGAGACTACAGGCACGTGCTACCTAGCTCAGTCTGGCATCAAATTAACGAGTACATTACACAGAATAATGTTTTTACACACCAAAAATTTAAAACAAATGTAATGACAGAATCCCAACAATTAACAAAAATTAACAAAATTATTTTTTATGGCCTATATCTAATTTTAAAGACCAAAGCTCACATAAATATTAACTCTAACTGAAAGTGAAAAATACATTTGAATTTCTCATGCTTATTTAAAAGATACCATATATTAATTAAAAGACACTATGTATGAAGCGCAGACAAATAAAAAAGTCTAATTATACCAAACCAACATTTTTATATTACATACTGCAGAAACATAATCCAGATACTTAACTGACTCACTAAAAAGCACTTAATGTATGTGCTTTAGTATATTTCTATCTGGGATTGTATTTTATGGAAACTGTATGGTGAATTACTAGTGTCAAGTATTTTGTATTATTTAGTCTTAGAGGTTTCCACTGCTTCAAGAAACTTTCACAGGATTATCAAACTAAGCTTATAAACTCTCTCTAGTGAGTTTTTCACTTATTTGACAAAAATATAAATGCTTTCCCATATATTTTACATACATATGGTTTCTGTTTAATGTGTTTTGTCTTTTGCAAAACACCATGTATGCTGAAAACTTTTCCACATTGCTATAACATATGAAATTGTCCAGTGAGCTCTTTTACCTGTGCTAGGCTTTGCCACACTGTGTGTATATACATATATGTTTTTATCCCCTGTAACTTCTTTCATGTTTAAAAAGTACATTTTATGGTAAAAGCTTTCCCACATTGCTCACATACACAGGGATTTGCCCCATTCCTTTCATGTAATTTACAATAACTTTATATGAAAAAGCTTTCCCATATTGTTTCCATACAGTTCTTAGTTTTAAAATTCATTTTACAATAAGCTTTTGTAGTAAAAACTTTTAACACATTGCTTACACACACAGACTTTCTAATGCAGGTTCTTTCATGTTTCTGACAATCACCATGGGAGAAAAACTTTGCCACATGGCTTATGTACATAGGGTTATTCCCCAGTGTGAATCCTTTCATGTCTTTTACAATTCCTTTGTGTAGTAAAAGCTTTCCCACACTGTTTACATATATAGGGTTTCTCCCCAGTGTGAAGCCTTTCATGTGCTTTACATGAACTCTGTCTACTAAAAGCTTTCCCACATTGCTCACATACATAGTGTTTTGCACCAGTGTGAATCCTTTCATGCATTTTACAATGACTTTGTATACTAAAAGCTTTCCCACATTGCTTACACACATAGGGTTTCTCCCCAGTGTGAAGCCTTTCATGTACTTTATAATGACTTTGTATACTAAAAGCTTTCCCACATTGCTTACATACATAGGGTTTCTCATCTGTGTGAAGCCTTTCATGCGCTTTACATGAACCTTGAGTACTAAAAGCTTTCCCGCACTGGCTACAGATATAGGGTTTCTCCCCAGTGTGAATTCTTTCATGTCTTTTATAACAACTTTGTGCACCAAAAGCTTTCCCACATTGCTTACATACATGGGGTTTCTCTCCACTGTGAAGACTTTCATGTATTTTACAATAACCTTGTGTAGTAAAAGCTTTCCCACACTGTGTACATACATAGGGTTTCTCCTGAGTGTGAATTCGTTCGTGTCTTTTACAATTTCTTTGTATACTAAAGGCTTTCCCACACTGTTTACATACATGGGGTTTCTCCTCAGTGTGAAGCCTCTCATGGGCTTGACAATGATCTTGTGTGCTAAAAGCTTTCCCACACTGCTTACATATGTAGGGATTCTCCCCAGTGTGAAGCCTTTCATGTGCTTTACACAAACCGTGTGTAGTAAAAGCTTTCCCACATTGCTTGCATACATAGGGTTTCTCCCCAGTGTGAATTCTTTCATGTATTTTACAAGAACATTGTCTAGTAAAAGCTTTCCCACAATGTTTACATACATAGGG